TAAAAGAAACACAAAAGATGGCCTCCCTTTTAAGAAACATTGAGAGACTAGCATTCCAAATGTGATCTTTATTGAATTTAATTGACAGATTACCTTGATTGCTCCTCTTTTTGCTTCGCCGGAAGAGCTTCAGCTGTTTCTTTGGTTCTGGTTCAAGAGAGATGGACACCTCTGAAACCGTCGGCGCATCTTCTGGCTCCAGGCCATCCGGGACGTCACACCCACTGATGCCTTCATCAAGTGCAACCGCCCTTATTTTAGTTTCTGAGCGTTTTTCATTCCAAACTTCATCCTCCCCGCATATTCTCTCCGTTACGTTTCCCTTTTCTTCACCCGCTTCTTTTCCATTTGCTCCTGATAAGCTGCTTTTTTTGAGATCATGTTCAGTGACTTCACTACATTTCCCATTAGTATCTGCAACAGATGATCCTTTATTGGTATTAAGGCTTTTGCTAACATCTAAATCTTCCGACACCTCAGGGACCACACTCGAAGCACTGTCCAGTACAGCCTCAAGCAGGTCTGAATCAGAGAAGGATGAAGGACTGAAGACGCTAGTCTCTGTTGAATCAGGAGAAAAGCTGTTCGTGTCAGGACTGGGCTGAACTTCAGCCTGAGGTGGTGTGGGTTTCCCTAAGTGTTGACCATCCTGTAGAGATGCTGGCCTTTCCAGAGGAGTCTCTGTCGTTATGGCTGCCTCTCCTGGTGGTTGGTTGGGAGGCAGCGCTGTCCCATCTTGGGCTGCACTGAGCTGAGGAGGCGGTGGAGTCTCCTCTGAAGGGCTGATGAAGCCGTTCACTTCGCCTCCGTGACGCTGGAGATCCTCTGTCTGAGGCTTGGTGGGAGTGGAGGATGCGACTCCTTCGTCGGCAGACATCACACCTGTGCCTAAAGAAGAGATGCAAGATGAGATACACAGGGCCTGGCAGAGGTTTGCAGACACTCATAAGCATGAATGTCAATAGGTTTTGGCTTTTAATAATACATTTTGTTTTATTTTTTCTTTTGGGTGGGATGACTAAAATTCACATATAGTTTTCAAATGTTTTTGGACATTCTAGATTTTCTCTGATCCACAGAGATTCAAAATTATACACAGACTAAAATCCAGACTTAAGGAAATCCAGTTACATTTGGGTAGCTGCATCTTAAATACCGTCAGAAAAAAAAAACACTGGTTGGACCCATCCTCACTGATGTGGCCTTCAAAACCTTTTCGGCCTGTTTGATGTTCAGGCTGTTCACAATCTTAAAATTATCCTTCATTATCCATTTCTAAACCAGTTTTGATGAGTCATTTTTATCATGGTGGAACACCAAAAGGTGTCTACCATCCGAACCCGCAGATGAGATAGAAAAAAAAAATAGAATATTAAAAGGAAAACCCTCAAATTACCAAGGTTCAACTGCATCAAACAGGAAAATACAGCTGCACTGTTGTCTCTGTACAACACGAGTATAAAATACTTATTGAGTGCAGAGCAAAAAAAAAAAAAACAAACAATAAAAGCCTCTATTCTAAACCTTTAAAGCATGACTCAGATCTGTAGCTCCTCACATTGACAAGCCAGATTGGAGATAAGAAATTTAAGGCAAGCTAAGGCAAAGCCTGAGCGATCTGGCACAGCTTAGGCATGAAGTTGTAGCTTTGAACCCTAAAAGCACGGTTTTTACAGTCAGACTTTGCTGTGGCAGGATTATGCTTATGGGTCTGTTTAGCTGCCAGTGGAAGGGTTAGGGTTAGGGTTAGCCTACCTCTAAACTGTTACTTTCACTTCAAGATCATTAATTAAAGTGTTCCAACAGACTGGGGAAAATAGAAAAGCAAAACTGTTTTGAATGGCTAAAGGCCAACATTAAGCCATAAAATACCTACAATTATGCAGCAAGCCAAACTAAATGAGCACTACACTGGAGTCGAACATCTAGTCAGGTTAGTAACTAAAGCTCGTTGATGCTGGAATTGTATGTTTGAATTGTATGAAATGTAGGTTCCTTGCATCTTGGTACCAGAATTTCCCCATTTTTGGACAATAAAGGGATTTTCTATTCTACACAACATGAATCAGCTTCTTGTTGGTTCACACAAAAGGAATTTGATTATAGTTCCTATTCCCTCTCTCTTTGCCCGTTTTCCAGGATGCCATCTTGAAAGCCTACTATATATTACAGCGGATGCATTTATACATTTTAACTTGCATGTATAATTAGAAGCCCTTGAGAATTTTGGGAAATTCACATTAAATTTAAATGTGTCCAACTGTAATTGAATATTTTCATTCGTTTTACAACTTTAAAAAAGCAAATTGGTTCAAATACTTAATTAAAAGTTAAAATGTAAGGACATCCATGCTGATGAGATCATTTAAACCTCAGAGTGGTGCATATAAGCTTAACGACTGTCCATTATGAGTGTGTTGCAATAAGCAAGAGGACACAGCAGGCATGACAACAAGCTCATTAAGTGAAGAGACTCCACAGTAGCTTTACAGAGCAGCTGCAGCAACGCTAGCTTAGCCAGATGAAGGCGCTGGGCACAGAAGCACAAATAAGACAGGTTGGTGGTCTGCAGGGGGCGATCAGGGGTGGAGCAAGGAGCTGAGGATGGAGACCACCACCTCTTTTCCTTACCAGGTGGGCAGGCATCTCTATGCAATTCACTACGGGAGAGGCTTTCCGAATCGCACCTTGGCCGGGTCTTTCTCAGGCTGAAACCTTTCCTAATGTCCGCCAAGAGATGGTCAATGATGCAGCCATCGTTTTGTGGCATGATGCCTTTTTTTACTGCAGGACAAAAAGACAGTAGGAACAGAAACACATTAGTTTCTCCACGATTACTTTGTAATACCATTTCAACCAAAATAAAAAGATGCAGAACTAAATGTTTGTAATTGGAAATCTTTTAAGATCAAATAAAAGAAAAAATGTACATGCTATTTAAGTAGCATTTATAAATCGACTACATGCGCCTAATCATGCAAATCCTTCAGCAATTTAATAGTGTGTTTCACCTGAAAAAACATGCCCCAAAAAGATTTAAATGGAACATTGGAATGGAATATTTTCTTCCTTTCAGAATGTCAGTCAACACAAAGCACAATGCTGGCTGATCCCAGTCTGCACGTCTACATTTTAGAGCAGGATCAAACAAAAAGGGAACGTTGCAAAACTAAATTTCCATCAATCTGCTGCATGAAACAGGAGTACTGGAACACATGTTTGGCACAATCACAAAGAAAATACCGTAAGCACATGTCAGCATTTACTCGTGATTAATTATGTTACACATAACTAAGTGTATTAAATGCATTTCCCAGCTAGAATCTTGACAAAGAGCTGTACAGAAAAACAATAAGGTCAGGTCATTGAACAGGGGCAGCTTTTAGACATTACCTTCACTGAAAATGTTCATGTTTTACTTTTCACCTCTCATTAGTTCAAAGTAGGTCTGGTGAAGATTTTTTTTGGTTTGTTTTAAAGATGAGGTATCTTGCCTCTAAGCAAAAGCAGTCAACCTTCTTAAGCCCCAGTCACACCTTGACGATTTAGCCTGACTTAACCTGATGAAAATCTGGCAAAAATGCTGACATACGTTGAATAAGTTACGAGCATGCTGAAGTACGCTGAAACATGTTGACATATGGCAAGTACGACATACTTGCCAGGGTATGCAAGATGTGGGCCATGAGTTACAGGTAAGTTATCTGATTGTTAACATACGTTAAGTGTAATTTGCTCATAAGTCGTGGTGTCTAGCTTATCCAAAACCTATGAGTAACATGTGCATAACTTATATTTAACTTATAAAGAACTTATCTCCAACGCATATCAACTTATTTAATGTGCTTCCAACGTATAGCCACTGTATAATGGCGTATAGTTTTGGTATAAAAAGGGGGTTCACAGTTAGCTCTCCTCCCTGCGTTCACGCCCACGACCAACAAACTTCCTAGCTGACATGATACTGAATCTGCTGCGACTGCAAACATTCTTTCACTTTTTATTTATTTATTTTTTGTCGGGTGGTATACAGCAGCCAAGTTAAATCAATGGAACCTTTTTATGCAGACCAGGCACCTCCGGGAGCATTGCTGCCCCCCTCAGGACACTGCCTTGTGACATTTCATGGGCACTACCCTGCCATGCGTTATGCATAAGTTAGGCTGTTGTTGGACAGCTCAACATAAAGTACTGATTTTCCTTCATTGCTACAGAAAGTGGAAGAAAAAAAATGATCAAAATTGCTTTTTTGTTTGCTTGTTGTAAGTCTTTGGCCACCAACAACACATTTCCAGATGTAGGTATGTATTAATTAATCCTGAGGTTGGGAGTTCCTCGACTCTCACAGACTGCCACTCTGGGCCCCTGAGCAAGACCCTTAACCCCACATTGCTCCCCGGGCGCCGCACAATGGCAGCCAACTGCTCCCCAAGGGGATGGGTTAAATGCAGAGAATTCATTTCATTGCTCTGTACTTGTGACAGTAGAATGACAAAGTTGAATTCTATTCTAGTTTAATGCAATACTAGATTTTTATAATAAAAGCCAGATTTCTTATACACAGACCCTTTAAGAGCAGGAGGGAAAAAAAACAAAACCTTTCACTTTTGGGTTATCAGATTCCCAGTGCAGAACTTACTTATTTTTCCGTTCACTCCCCTCTGTCTCTTGGATTCTTCATCTGCCAGCTGCTTCTTTCTCTTCTCAGCCTTGGCTACTTGTTCTTTCCTCATTTTGTTTTCCTTTGATCATGACAGAATGAACGTCACCATCACTGAACCATCACTGACGAATACCAAGAATACTCTGCAATTTGCCCTTGTATCATTTAGACAGAAACAATAGCAGCCTTCATTCACTCTTTTCAATGGATACATATATTCAATAAACTCCCACACATGCAAGTCAGCATCAACCAAGCAGAATCCAGTACACACTAATTTCTTTTAAACCATTAATCCCATAATCATTTAGAGTACAGGAGATTGAGGTCGAATTTTTTACTCCCTCACCTTAAGTGCTTTAAGAAAAAGTTCTCTGAAAGTTTTGATGGTTCCGAAGAGCTCCTCCAGCGACAGCTGACTCGCATCTTCGCACAAGTAGACAGCCAGGTCGCTCCTCTGCCTCCCGATCTCTTCAAATCTCTCATTTAAAGCTTGGCATGCCTTTAGGTTTTCCTGCAGTAAAGAGCAAGCTGACCCATTAGGATGTGATCCAGCTGCTGGATAAAAAAAAAGGGAAGGCAAGAAGTCGACAATTTTGGCTTTGGATTTCTTACCTCAAGGATTTTTGAGTATTGCTCCTTCACCTCATCCACAGAGTTGGACACTTTCTTGGCAGCGTCATTAAGCTGTTTAAGCAAAAGACCAGTTTCCGACTGCATAGAGTCCAAATTGACCCTATGAACAAAGTGCTTTGTTTTAGCTCTCATACAGAACTTGGGAGCAATTAAGAGAATGATGTGATGAATAAAGACCCTGCATCATTCTCTATAGAAACAAAACTTGTAAATATTAAAGGTGCAAATTAAATTCCACAGGGAATTTCTTTTTTTTTTTTATATACCAAAAACAGAGACACGCATATACACACCAATATAAATATATACATTTACTCTGGTAACTGTCACATAAGGCATTAACGGATAAGATTTGCATCCCAACGGGAATGCCAATCGTTTGAAACCTTTAGCTGCACACTCAACTGTCTTGTTCTGCTTTTATGGAGTATTGTCACCACAGTACAATTGCATGCCTTAATGATCATGAAAAGAAAAGATGAGATTTGCCCTTTAATTATGTCCATACCCTGCTGCTTTCTGACATATCTCTATGTCATCTGGCAGAGCCAGCAGCTCCTGGTGTTTCACTTCTGCCTCCTTTGGAAAAACAAGACACAAAGTGGGTAATTAAACATGTGTATGATTGATGAAGGAGGAAACAAATCTGGACAACAGTTAGCCTGATCAGATACCTCCAGGATGTGATGGAGCAGTGTGATGCGGCTCTTGTTGGCTTTTGTTTCTGTTAACTTGAGCAGAGAGCTGATCTTAAAGCCCTCGGCATTCCCTGTGTGACTTCCCTGAAAGTAGATCAGCAATTAAAAATGCACACAACACTAAATATCATCGTATGCTTATAAGACAGGAGGGATTGTTACATAGTTGAGAAAATTTCCAACACAGAGGATGAGTCTGCAGAAACTGGGCAATAGGGTGCTAATCTTGAGAGCTGGAAGAAGAAGAAGAAAAAAAAAAAAGCAGGTCATTTAGGCATTTTGGACAAATCTCAATGATGTGCACAGATTGTTTACTCACACTGGCAGGCTTCCTCCACCAGCTTCACTTTAGGTCTGAGCATCTCCAGCAGCGATGCAGTCTCCTCGCATAGCAACATGCATTCAATTCTAAGCTGATAACTGAGGATGTAAGCAAAGAAAAAGTTAACCCATGCATCTCAAATTTTTATTCTATTATTATTAAAAACTTAATGTACTGAAGTAACTGAATTAAAAAAGGGAATCTCTCGTCATTATGTCTTGCAGCTGATGAAAACCCACAATTGTAGGTGTCTGACAATTTGATTACATAACTGCAATTGTAAAAAAAAGAAAGGATTTTTAATAAGGTTTATGGTCTACACCAGGGGTGTGCAAAATGGAACCTGGGGACCATTTAGCATCCCTGGACTGATTTTTGAGCAGCCTCTTACTGCAATCAAAGGTGATAAGACTGAGCCTGCCACTCAGGTGATTGATGCAGATGGAGAGTTTATTTTCAACTAGGGTTAAATTATTACAGATTAAAAAAAAACAAAACAAAAAATAAAACGCCGGTATTTGTCTTATCGGGGAGTGTTGGCCTAGTGGTTAGAGCTGTGCGCTTGTGCTCTGAGAAGAATGCAAGTACCCAGTTCGATCCCAACAGCCTGTACTCTGGGTTCCTGAGCAAAACACTGCTCCCCGGGCGCCACATAGAGGCAGCCCACTGCACCCAAAGGGGATGGGTCAAATGCAGAGAGTGAATTTCCTCATTGCGGGACAATTTTTCACATTTAAATAACATTTATATCCAATGCTACATTTGCTCTTACTCAAGCTGCACTGTAAAGAAAGAAGGACCATAATCCTTTTACTACCGCCAAAGCTTACCCCCCGACCATTTCAGAAGTATTTGCAAACTGGATGCCTTTTAAGGCAATGCAAAAGCTTGAAATGTTTATATTTTGGATCTGGAATGATTTAAGCATTCCTTTTCTCCAAAAAAGAACAAAATATCTCACTCTGACCAAGCACTGAGTCCTACTGTGCAGCACCTGGACATTTTGCAACATTTCTTTAATAAGTAAATCAATCTTAGGGGGAAGCATTCCAATATCCAGATAAACTTAAGTTTTACGTTTATCAGCTTTCAGGCAAAGACATGTAATGAACATTTTAAAGATCCCTGAATGCAATAAACAACTTCCTGAATTGGATTGTTGAACAATCCTCTTTCAATGAGATCATCTATAAAGATGCAAAGGCATACAGCTGAAAAAGTGCGACACGGAGCTGAGGCAAGCTAAAAATGTAGAGTACATCTTGAAAAAAAGCCAAGCATTACCATGGTATATTAAGCAGGGAGGTGTAAAAGCGATCAACATTCGCCAGCTTGTCTTTTTCTCCTTGGAAGGACTTCAAATTCTCAATCTACACCAAAAATACACAAGCAATAAAACTTCAAACGTAGGTCATGAGTTAGTAGATTGGTGTGATGGAGGTTTTTGAGTGAAAGGTGTAACAAACCTCATGTCTCTCTGGTAGGAGCTTCATAAGCTGTTTTAGCGACTCCACATCAAACCTGCTTCGGTCTCCACTCTGGATCATGGCTGCAAACTCTTCGTTTGTGCTGAGAAAGCATAACAGAGCTACTTATAGCTGGGCACATTTGAAGGTTTGAAAAGAAGGGGAGTAAAGTCTCACCATTTAAACTGCTTCAGGAAAATGTTCATATTCAAATTTTTCTTTGGATCGATGAATGTTATCTAAAATAAACCATAGGGACAAAAAATGTTTACTATTGTTGATATGCATTTTATTTAAAGTATAACATTTTTTTTTTCAGGAATTTACCTCTTTAGGTTCCTTCTTCACAGGAGTAGGTGCTGCCTTGTCTTTGAGATCAGTTCTAGGCAGACAGAAGAGCTCCTCGATGCTGCTGTAATCTGGCTCATGAGGAGGTGGTTCTTTCTGAACCGACGCCCACATGGATTGACCATCTGCTCTCATGGGAGAAGGAAAAAAATAGGGAACCCAATTTAAGATCGTAGGATTTATTTTGTGTCAAAAACAGGTTTGTGAAATGCAACCTTCAGAAAGAAGTTGAATACTTATTCTTTCATTTATATCAGTTTGGAGCAGATATACCAAAGCTTTACAGATCCTTTTAGAGTAGCAGCATTGAAAACTATGGAATAAATGGAACCATACAATTATAGCAACAATGAAGTCTGGGAAGAGTCTTTGTAAAGCCGATAAATCAAAATGGCCAGAAAGTTGCTTTGCTGACACACTGAAGAGGGAAAAAAAAAAAAAAAAAAAAAAAAACAACCTCCCAGCCGCATATTACTAATGCAAGCCAAGCCTGTGGGAAAACGCTTCTAAATCATTTACAAAACGAGGAATGAAGATCGTTTTTCTGATTTCCCTGAAGTCTCAGCCACGATGGAACGGGTTTAAGATAAACATATTAGGCATGACGTCCTGCATAAAAGTTTGCATGTTCCCTCTCTGCTCGTCTGGCAAGTTGAGGCAGACTTCACTAAACTCCTCAAGAGTCCAGTGGAGTCTGTAAGCAGCGGATCTTTAAAGATTGCGCAGTAAAGCCTCCATTGATCCGACTCATTTGGTTAGAAGATCGAAGAAACGTTCAAAAGGGATTCGGTCCTGGGGAATTTAAGAGGCCAGACTGAAATGTAAAGAAACGTATTGTGGGCCTCCTCAAGCCATAGAGGAAACAATAAGTATGAGAGGCCGTAGCCATTAAGGAGTAATTTCACCTGAAAGGGATAAATAGCAGGATTGCAGGAACTCTTAGATGCCCTCTGTTCGTTTACCTCCTTCACTAAGTGCATCAGGCTGCTGTGTTTTCCCAGGTAAATGATACACATGGCATCCAACATGATCATTGTTAGTACTTTATAGAGAGGGGTAAGCATGGACAACCTTTCAAGCACTATGTATTATAATAATATAGAATCTTATTCAGTTCTTCAACATCAGCATAGAGACTCTGTGACCAAGATATCCAAGATCATAAATGGGCCCAAGACAAAAATCTAATCTCCACACTTGTCCTTATTATTCTCCTTTCAAACCAATAATCTTCATCCATCTGCGACGTGATGTGGTTTCCAACCATTATGGTGTTTAGTTTAAGTTCATCGACCGTTTTCACTTTCAAAAGGAGATTTTATTCCCTAAATACCCCTCCATTGTCATTGGAGGGAGCTTTTTGTTTCACCATCTTTAATCTTTGTAAATATTTTAGAAACTGTGTGCATTTCATCCTGATCCAAATCCATTTTAGCCCCATAAGAATGTGAAGGACAACTTGCCTGTGACCGAGCGAAGTTTCTGCCAGTTGAGCTTCTTCATCTTCAGCGTGGGACATCTGCCCGTCTTTGCTGATGTAGCGGACCACAGGATCTGGCTAGTCTGTGGCACTATCATGCCAGGGGGGGGAGGAGGCATCCCAGGTAATGGAGGAGGTGGTGGTGGGGCACCACCCATTCCTGGTAATGGTGGTGGAGGGGGAGGCATGCCTGAAGCACAAGGTAGAGGTGGAGGGGGTGGAGGCATTCCAGGCATTGGAGGAGGAGGAGGAGGAGGGGGGGGGTGGAGGAGGTCCACCAAGCCCGCCAGGTAGTGGTGGTGGAGGAGGAGGTGGAGGAGGAGAGGCACATGGAGGGTTCTTGGAGGACGTTGCGTTCATGCCTGGCTTGTCTCCGTCGTCCTCATCCAGACCGGTCTGAACAGCTTTGTCCACTTTCAGAACAAGACCATCTACCTCATGATGACCTTCAGAGCTCCACCCCTTGAAAAGCATCAGCCGCTGCATGATCTTCTCACAGGACTCCATCTGAGCTGGAGCACAAATCCAACAGTCATTGATGAAATTTAAAGGATTTCTCACACTACAACAAAGCTTTCAGGCTCGTTTTAATGGTGCACTTTAATCCATCTTCCCGGATAATCGCTCGCCTTCGCACATTAATCATGCTATTAGTCTTCTCTGAGTGTTGTCCTAAGTGAATGCTTGTTGTTGTTGCAGTGCTGACTCACAGTCCTGAGCGAGGAGCATGGCTCTATCGTTGATGGACTCCAGAGCCAGCCAGATATCGGTTCGGCCTGGCCCGAGCAACAGCATATTCTGCAGGATGGAAAGCAGCTGCAGAGAGGCTGGAGAGCTGCTCACCTGCACACAGATATTCAGCAGAAAATCCTCACAAATAAATCTGCTAAACCTGTAACTCAGCCACCCCACTGTGGAAAAGAGCATCATTTTAAAGGCTGACTTTAACTCTTCTGCATGTTTTATTTCGAAAATATGACACCAAATGCCCTGTCATGTCATTAAGCTTCAAATGATTGCACTTTATTCCAAGTGATTTGTTCCTATTAACTTGTTCCTATATAAAAATGAAAAATTAAACAATAATTCTGATTAAATACATGAACTATTCTTGCTTCCCTTGCATAAGTATCATTTTTATTGATAATATGCTGATGCCATTATAAATATTTTATTTAATTACATTTTCTTGCAATACTGAAATTATCTCAGATAAAAGCAACATTCGTCTCAGTCAGAAATCATTTTGGTCAAAAAATTTGTTCATTTCCTCAGTATGTCGCTTTTATTTCTTTGCCATTTATTGTACAAATCTCAGACCCGAGTTTGCATTTTCTAAGAGGATTTGCACTTTGGGAGCCTTTAAGAAGTTCCAAAAACGTTTCCAAGAACAGGAGTTTAATATCCAACAGCCGCTTCAGCACAAATGAGATTTACAACTAGTATTTTAATACACCATCTGGCTACCCCTCTGTAACATAAAAAAAAGTCACACACAAAAGGATAAACTGGTCCAAAACATGGAGCTACTGAAGGAGTTTAAATATTTTCCACTAGGACATCAAAAATAAGCAAAAAAAAAATGGCATAATGTTTCTGAAGCAAATATCTCATCATTACTTTATTCATTTTCTAGATATCAGAAAATACTATAAAACAATCCAAAATGTCATTATGGATGACAAAACCCCCCAAAATGAAAAGAGAGATAAAATCCTAGGGTAAAATGATTTTGGATCAAAGTTTTTATGATATATATCTGAAAACCTTATTAACCATTAAGTGTCAGGATACAGTGCTGATCATTTTTGTTTATGGCCCTTAAGAAAATTTTTGTTTTAGGCTTCAGAGCCAGAAAGCAGCAGCCATAAGGATTGGAGTTCTGTTCTGATCTGAAGGAAACTGAAGCCATTTTCTAAATACTTATTCCGTTCCTACTTATCTGGATCATTTCGTCTCCGTTCTGCTCTCACCTTGTTGAACAGTGCGGTGAAGACTTCCTGATGATTACTCATATCAATGCCTCCGTACAGTTGCAGCAGCTCTTCCTCATCCTCAGCCATTGCTTCTTCAAAAGCTTCACATTGAATAATCAAGTCTTCATCCTCTTGCTCCCTGGACACCAAATATAAAAATACAGAATGAAATCCTTTATGTTCAAGCTCCAAATAAAAGTTTGGACCCTTAAGTTAAAACATCAATATTTTAAAGTACTCGTTTATTTCCAGGATTTTTATGGTGTAAAAGCTCATAAAACACAATTCTTAAACTACACCGTATTGTACTCTATTTTACCAAGTACCACAGGTACTGAAAGAATTACGGTAAAATAGAAAAAAAGGCTTCACAATGTTTCGTTAAATTACGTTAAATTCAAGACTTAAAATCTTAAATTGATGCTGCTGTATGATAGGTAAAAAGATGCAGCTTTAGGACATACTTAGGACATAGGCTGAAACCTACAGAAAGGTGACTGAAATTATAAAATCTACATTTTTTTATTATCTCAGTTGTTTAAATTTTCATCTGCTTGCTTTGCTTACAGCAGCTGATCTGGCCATCTTGAAAGTCTTGTTTTTCTTTTTTTTTTTAGCTTAAAAGAGATGCGTGTAATTTTAGTTTTACTGTCCATCCCAGATCCAAGCTCTGGATGCTAAAGTGAAGGAAACACATTAATTGGTTCCAAATGTAATTTTTTTTTTTACAGTAGCCATGCTTTAAATATGCAACAGACACCCACAATAAAGACCATGGAGGTGGGGAATAGTAAATAGAGGATAGAAGTAAAAAGAAAATAAGAGGCAGGAAATGATTGTGGCAGGAATCAAATGAAGGCACAAGCCGGATGGAAATAAGGAACACGGGGAGCCAGGATGAAAGGAAAAAACATTTTAGACAATGGGATAGGAAACAAAATCAGAACAAATGTTTCCATACTCATCTTGGAAACCAACAATCCTATTTCCCACCCCTAAGCAGACTGCAGTCTGAGATAGTTGAGACATTTCTCATGCAGCAGAGGTGATTATGCTTGAACTGTCTTCCTGTCTGCAGGTACTTAGTGCCTCGCTAGCCCCCCACTTCATTCGTTCTTAAATATCTGCAAATAATTAGGCCTTTATTTGATTTTTCTGTGAACCATTACATGCAGACCAACTTGTAACAGCAGGGTGCTAACAATTTTAAGGAAATAAACTGCAGGCTTACCTTAATTGTGGCAGGATGTCAAGTAACTGGAGCCCTGCAAAATCAAAAATATTAAAAAAACAGATCCAATTATCAGCATTCAGTTAGTTTTGGAAATGTTTATTTTGAGGATCGCTCATCATATAGTGTTTGTTTGCTCAGGTTCAGCTTCAGGTTGTCTCAGGTAAGCAATCTCAAAGTAGGAGGGGTCAATCAGCTGGCTAATTGCTTTAAGGTGGTGGGAGATGAGGCGTTTACTTAGCTGCAGCTCTCTTGTCTGCCACACTGATTTATGAGGGCTGTGTGTTTCTTAGGGCTCAAATTTCCAGAAGGAACTTACTGTCTAAGAAACGATTAAAACCTTAATTTAGTTTGATCCATCAAAGTCTGCTGACAGTTTCTCAGTCACTGGCTGTGCTGCTAAACTTGTGAAAACACAATGTTGCACACACTTAGTTCTCAGGCGTTTTGTGTGAGAATTAGGCCATTGGACCTATTCTTAGGCGAGACCTAGTGACAAAGAAATGTGTTACAAAGCTAAAGCTACTGATATGCGTTCACCTACTGCAGACGGATAAATAAGGGCATCATCTTGCTCCCAGATGGAGAACTTACCAATGAACTCTTTTCTGATTCTGTCTCTCCGTCTCAGGTCATCTGTACTGAAGATGAGCGCGTTGATGACACTGAGGAGTGTGACCATGTATGGGACATTGTCTGTGGCCTGCAGCTCGTTCATGATGACACTGAAGCGATACTGTTGTGTCTTCAAGCCCTGGAGAAGAAGAAATGGAGATAATGAGAAACGTTTTTATGACATCATTTAGTGCATGCTCTAAAAGCAGGTGAAAATGTAGTAAACGTTTCTATCTTCCTGCCTTGTAATGATCCAGAGCATCCAGGGCCAGACGGTGTCCTTCTGCAGAGAAGATGCTGAGCGCTGCGAGGAGCTCAAACACCTGCTTCTTCACCATGATGTTTGAAGTGTCCAAGGCTGTAGAATATTGTAATATGTATTAAAGTAAAGTCCTCTCACTTCGGTTAAATCTTTTTTTTTCCTGTCTCTAAGCCCAATTCTTGTCTATATCCAAACCGGATGCTTTGCCTTGTTATCTCTTAGATTACTTGAGTTGAACTTTGGCTTTAGTGCCTCTACTGCAACAACAACAAAAAAATTCAATATTCAGTACTCTAAAGATGTATTGACAAAATGCGTTATATAATGCTTTTTTACCCTAAATATCAGTATATTAGAGTGCAAAAGTTAGATGCTACTTTTGGCAATAAAAAAAAATATTCTAATACAACCAAATAAAAAAAAAAATAGCAGAACTAAAAGCCTTCAGAAGTCACTTAATATGTAAGTCAACTGAGTTTTCATTTCTTTACTGTAAAAGAGCAGGTTTAGTGTGAAATCCGTTGAGTGTTGCTAGACAACGTTAGAGGACTAACGGCTGAGGCCGACAAACACAGCAGAGGTGAGGGAAGAAGTCAAAATAAAGGCATCATAAAAAACATAATATCAAGCTTTGGACATCTTATGGAGAAGTGCTTAAGCCATTATTTAAAAATATAACTAGGAAAGGAAGGCATCTGGTCACATGATGCCATAATTGAAGTTAATGCAAAATGCTATGATAGACAGGAAGATAACCTCACACTGTCACCATGGTAAAACATGGTGGTGGTAGCATAATGCTGTGGGAGTGCTTTTCTTGAGCAGCTTTTCTTAAACAGCTACAATATTGATAGGTACATTATTATTCTGTTCATGGTCTGACCCCGTGTCTTCAATTTACACAATCGGAGTAGTGGAGCGATGTGAATTGGATAGCTCACTGGATATATAAACACTAGAAAGGCACATGCAAAATAAAAACTAGCAAGGAAGAATCACGCACAATGGCTTTAGGTGAGCATATCACAAAGATTGGTATCGGGAAACCAATATACAAAAGACTGCAAAAGACTAAGACTGGCCTGTAGGTGGACATAAACATCAAGGATACAGTCTGAGATACATTGGATTATTATTATTATTTTGAACAAAGCTCTTTGTCTAAGTGGACTGAACTTAAGCCATGCATTAAAAAAGAGGAACATCTCAATAAGTAGAATTCCTGAATTGGATGCTCAAAGTTTCTCATTACAAATGCACACAGATCTTTTTAGGGGTTCAGTTGTCTCTGAGTTTTTTTGTAAAAACTTAAACAGTAACTTGGATATTCAGAGTATAGACGGACATTTGCAAAAGATCTACAAAGACAGGTATTATTTTATTCTGTCTAACAAATATGTGCAATGTGAAATGAACGTATTTTATGAAAATTCTGTAAAATCTAGAAAATATTGTGGTTTTAATGTGATGAAATTTGGACATTTTCAGGGGGTGTAAACAGTTTTGCATGAGCGTGTATATATACAAAGCCCAGTGCATAACAGGAAGGTTTCAGCTTAGCAGAGTGAGTCACAGAGAGCACCTTCATCATGTGGGTTATGACTGATCCACCCATACAAGATAATATAGGGAAAAGGTGTTTACCATTATCTCAGTGCTTAAACATTATTACTGAACTCAAAACTATTTAGTAGGGTGCGTATTTACTGATGCATCTGAGATCACTGAACCAACCTTGCGAGAGCTTCCGAATGTACCCCTCGTTATCTATGATGAAGTGGATCCCTGCTGATGAGTTCATTACCGCTCTGACGCAGCTGACACACGTGAGCTGCAATAAGGCATCAGCGATGCGGGAGCAGCCACGGCCAGAGAGCCGGTCCAGGGCTTCCAGGAGCAGATCCAAACCACTCAGCTCTAGAAACTGAACCATCCATGTCTGGTCACTGCCTTCCAGGCGACGCTTTAGCCCAGAGTAGTTGACCACAGTAGGAACCTGCAGCAGTCTGATGCACAGCTCAGGATCGGCGCTCTCCAGGTTGGCCTCCTGCTGTGTGTCGGAGTCCTGAGAGGAGCCAAGGCGATCCCTGACTGCCGCCCACTTCTTTTTCCCATCGGATATCCCCGACATGATGCTCGATAGACCTGCAGGGGGGGATTGATGAAAAGCATTTAAGGTTTTGTTATTTATGTTCTTTAGAAATCATAACAGCCTATTTTAAACTGCTGATTGCGGCTGCCAGTTTCTGATATCCAATATTTTTTCCTGTTATATATACAGCCAAGCCACTTCTATCTAAACTGGAGGAAGCAGGCTGACAGTCGACTTCAACAGCAGGAACAGAGAATAGGAAACGACGAGTCTGCACTTTGGGATGAGCAGAAGATATGTCAGCCGTCCAGTCATCAAAAGCTCTGCCAAAAATTCCAGCTTAATCTCACAGCGAGCTGGACAGCGCCTGTTTTAACCCGGAAACACAGCCAGCATTCAACAGTGTGGCCCCTCTTTCTTTCACTTTCAATTATTTATCGAAAAGCTAGAAAAAAAAATTGAAATAAAGGTGAAAGAAAGATATACGTATGCTTTTTTTTTTCTTGTACACGTCTTGCCACAAACTAAATAAAAATGTGGCACTTTTTAAAGCTGCTTGATGTTGCCTGGGAAATTCTTATTAACACAACCATGAGTCATAAAAGGCCACAAGAAAAACAAAATACAATTACTAAGGAAGCTGTTTTTAAATAAAGCTGTATCCAAGCATTTTAAAAAAGTGGAGTGGAAGGAAAAAATATGTGAGAAAAAACTACACCGACAAGATGACGAACTGGCTGCTGACCTAAAAGCTGTCAAGCAGTCATGGACATTATTCACTAGGATGGTAAAAACCACAAAAGGTCTCTGCTAAATGTTCTTTTTCCAAGCATATTTAAGGAGGTCAAATGAAGAGGAAGATTTGAGACTAGAGATAAAGGAACACTGTTGCTTTTTGGCTATATTTTTTTTTTCTTTTAAGGACCTCCTTAAAAAAGGAGGTTTCATCTTAAGGGGCTTGTACTTTAAGTTTCAATAACATTTGAAAACAATTGAAAAAAGTTGAAACCTAACGTTAAACAATGGGACTTTAGTAACCCTTCAGCAGTGCTACATGCTGATTATCTCTATTCAACATTGTATCGATGGAGTCAATCATGTAAAAGAAGCCCTGAACAAGTACTGAGCTCAAATACAGTACAGTACGTGAACATACCTTTCATTTCGCCATAATCTCCATTATTATAGGCATTTTTGTCCCTTTTCATCTTATATTGTTGTCCTTTCACTCAACTTTCTGTTGCCATTATTGCAAAAAGCAATAATGGCAACAAAATGCTTTTGTTTATATTTGTTTTGTCTTTTTTAATAATGTTGTTTCTACTGTAAGTTTGTTGTATGCACTGATTGTGATAATTTTTGTTGAAAATAGACCCCAGAAGAAGTAGTTTCTTCTCTCATAGAGACTAATGGGGATTCTTAAATAAAAAATAAATACCTAGACATGACCTGGGCATATCGTTTGACATCCGATATGATACTACTGCTCAATGAGTTAATCACATACGTTACCATCTGGGTAAAGCCATCATGCTTGATATAAACATTGTTAAAAAAAGGTAACAAATTAAGACAAATATAAGTCATCATTAGCATCACTATATCCCACCCAAATAATTAGTTTGGTGATCTTTCGGCCAGTGTGAGATTCACAGGATTATCAAATAAATATTGTATATTTGGGTATTTTCAGATTGAACGAGGCTAGAAAAGCAACGACATGCACGTGGCAAAAGCTTGGAAAATAAATGCATTGACAATCTGTGCAGAAAAGTTAAAAACATGCTGATGCTGACATAAATGGACCCATGGACCACAGAACTGGCCTTTTCTGGCAAAACCACAGCACACAGTCACTCCTCTTTGCTAAGCTCCACAAACCCTGGCCTGGACTCCTGAAAAAGCACATTCCCACATTCAAATACAAGCTAAAAAAAATGGAAACTCTTTCCTTAAAAACATTCAACAATAGTTTAAACCTTAAAGTTTGTGCATTTATTTTCAGTGTCTCTAAGAAGCGTTAGTTATAATATTAGGTAGTCAATGTGCTCTGCAGATAATTTTATGCTTGGCATGCATTACATATACAGACGTGGCACTAAGTTATAAACAGAAAAAAATAAACACAGCCCTCTATGAAAGGTCAGGTAAAGAAAAATCCTTAAGTGGTCTGTTTTACCCTGCAGCAATGCCTTTCCCACAGTCCTTTTTGTTATCAAACTGGTTCTAAGCAGTTTGTAAATTGCTTGCATGAGTCTGTTTTAAGTGTTTGGCAGAGAGAGAGAAAAAAAAAGTGAAATTATATAAAAAGAAGCGACATCAGATTTTAAGTCACTGCGTGGTGTTAAGGTAAAAATCGTGCTTTATTTTCTCACATTTTCTGGTGAGACATTTGTCAAATCTGACTGCAGCGTTTTAGTCCTGCTGCCACTGTGAAGAGTGTTACCGTGGCAGCAAGCAGGCAGACAATGGTTGTTCACAAAAGGCCTTCTGAATACCCTTCAAAGAACTGTGTTCATCTCTCAGACAAAAAAAAAAAAAAAAAAGGATGAAATGCTCCCTGCCCTGTTCCGGCTAAAAGGCATTATCCTCTGTGATCTTTTTCCCACTTTCACTTTCATTTCGTCACTTTTCTTTTTATAAGTAGGAGAGCAGTAAAAGTTATAGCTGACGCCTGAAGTTAGGGAGATTTGGACAGTTTGGGGAGTTTTGTCAAACAGAAGCTGTTGTGACTAAGCCAGGCTGGGGTGTGACTTACAAGCTGAACTTCCCAGTTTGGCTCAGGAACTTGATAAAGGGAAGGAAAGGACTTTCCCAGGACAGGAAACTTGGCACTTGACAAACATGTCCCTTTAGTGTGAGCTTTTTACACAAAGATGGGTGCAGGTTACATAATATGTGATCACTAAGAATTATTCTATTTCATAATTCAGGTTAAAAATTTAAATTCCTGTATTACATAGATTCATAGAGATGTAAAATATTGTTTCTCTGCCATATACCTGTGCATGTTTTACATGAATTACTTCATCAAAGCAGAATCACAAAGAAGGCGATCAGTCAGTAACGTTTAAGGGTTTTTCTTTAATAGTGGCCTTCAATTAATCATTATTTAGTCTAGTTTATCTCGTCTTCTTCTTAGCAACACTCCATGTTGTCACTGTGGCGTTTTGAGGCAATTTTGGTAATATCAGTTGACTTTAAAAAGTCAGGTCTGTCTGAATGCTCTTGGTAACTGAGTACATTGATTATATTGTTTTGCTTGTTGTTCAAATTGTATCTACTTTTATTGTCTTTCCCTAAAAAGGTCCAACCTTTTGTTAGCCAGCCATCTTTTACATGTAACCTCTGTGGGAGTGGAGCTTAAACTCAGAACTTCTGGGACCCAAGCACAATGCCCTAAGCCCGAGGCCACCACTCCCAAGCACTGATCACAGATAATGTTTATGCCTTGCTTGATTTTTAAGTGAATTATGTTTGCTTCAAGTTATTTGTGCACATCTTTCTACCACATTTTCTTTTACATGTTATCCTTCCACATAATTTTCAATTAGCATTAAATAGGTCAACCAATTAATAATGCTTTTTGTGACTTAACTTTCCAATAGAGGGTGTTGATGTTGCACAGCTTTTTTCTGCATGGTTGTGTAAGCTAACATTACCATTTTTAAAATGGTTTAAAGTCATTTAATCCCCTGAGAAATGAGGGGTTCAGTAGATGTAAGTCATTATATTTTTGAACTGAATTTCTAAAACATATGTGTTGATTACATTCTAATTTGCAAAAGATGCGCTTGTAATGTACCGATGACATTCAGCAACCTAACCCAGCATTTACGCCTTCTCCTCAGGTAGTTACTGGCACCTTTAATTCATCGACCTTGTCTGCCAGAGCTCCCACGTGTACCTCTTATAGCAGGCTGATTCACTGCACACAAGACATGCCTCCTCACAGATCCTCTGCTTCCAGCGCCCACACAGCAGCCCACTGCCACTGTGGCGGCATCAACACTTGTGAATGTGCAGAAACATCTCCACGGATTTATTTCCTCCAAAGCATATGCTGAGCCTTTTATTTATTCTACACATACATCTATGGATTCCTTATTTGTTAGCAAACTTAATTAAAAAAAATTCATAAATGTAACCTGAAATAATTCAATAATTAGTGCTTGCAGTATTTTTCTAAGCCTTTTTTAAAATCTGCATTGAAATAAAAGACAGTGGAAGAAATATTTGACTTGACAGCTATGTTTTAATTATATATAGAGTCTTTGGGAGTGAAATACAAACAGTCAGCAGAGCTCAAACATGCCAGAGAAAACATCTGGTGCTGATGTTTTCTCCTCCCTTCTGTGTTGCCAAAGGGAGTGACCGGTTTTAGTCAATGGCATTTCTTTTGTAAAATGAAACAAAATACAATGTTTTACTTTCTTTCCCCTCATTTTCCCCCATTCCCTGGCTGCCAGCAAATGATGGGACGTCCAAAACCATGTGTTACCACACATCTGATCCAGAAACAGCCTTAAAACAACATTCCTCCGCGTGCATTTTTTGCACACATTTGTTTATTTTCTCACCTCTACCTTCCTCCTATAGGTAAATATAGCCTGCAACAGTTTGATGGCTGATTTTCTCCAGGATAGATTTAAAGGACTGCTGCATCCTGTCATAGAGCCAGTTTCCAATCACATTGTGAGAAAAAAAGCGCACATTTGTTTGCGCATCACACGAGGCATAACGGGACAGCCCGTACACGAGGTAGACTTAAACATAAAAAACAATGCATATATTACCCAATTACAGATCATAGAATGAATGTAATGCCATACCTCGTTTTATTCCATAAAATCGCTTCTTCTATAGAGTTTTACAAAAGCAGGCATTTGTCTTCCTCTTCCAGACAATAGATGAGATGTTGACCCCTGATGTTTAGGGCCCAGCTAGAGGATGGACCCCTGTCTGAGGAATGCGGACTGCAGCCTGCGGCCCCTGAGCTTTTACGCACTGAAGGTTTTCAAAGCAGACGCATTACTGAGCGGCTGCATCCGGCTGGATGTTTCAGAATAAGACGAATGCTTAATATGGGTTGACGGATGATGGGAGGGGGAAAAAAATCAAGTTAGGTATGAGATAATATGAGGAAAATGGGAGATTTCCGGGCTTGGCTCACTGGACCAGGACATCGTTAATTACAATATTACACAACACAAATGTTTAATTTGAATACGAAAATGTTGTTTTGACCATGAATGATAGCTCTAGACTGCATAAACTGGTGAGTCTGCGATTGGGGAGCTGGACTCTCTAGGGAAGGTGCAAGAAATAAGGACACTTAACAAACTGCTGGACATTATGGCGATACCAGCCACTGTCTGTATAATGCTTTCACCATTCAGAGGAGCCTAATCAGGGAGAGATTGCTTCTCCCCAAATGCAGGATCAACAGACTGCTGAAGTCCTTTGTTCCTCAAGCCATCAAGCTGTGCAACTCTTCACTTGGGGAAGGAGGGGTGATAGGAAGAGGGACAAGGGTCAGCACACACCTTGGACATCTTCTGCAAAATATTACATTCATGCAATATTCTTCTCTCTCACTGTGCAATAACGCAAGTCAACTACTGTGTAATCTGTATAATTTTTTTACCTATTTATAAGGTCAGTGCATTTCTGCAGTACAGGTGCAATAACACAAGTCAACTACTGTGTAGTCCTTCCTTAGCTCTCTACTGTGCAGATATTTTTATATCTAAAGACATAAAACATATTCCAGGACATTACAACGTTTTCATGCTCTTTTGCACTATATACACTCTTTTTATATTGTCTGCTGTATTTTTATCTTTAATAGCATCTTAATTTAACACTTCCATTTTTACTCTATATAAGCTATTGGAACCAGAATTTTCCTAAAGGAGTAATCCCATGGGATAAATAAAGTAGAGTCTAAGTCTTTTCATTTCTAAATAATCTCTAAAGGGTTACACACTATAGGCTGCCCCTGAAGAAGGGGCCTCTCTACAGAATATTATATCCACATATGATAGAAAATTGGTGAAGAGTGCTTTCACAGAAATCACACCGGTCCTTGCTTCCCTCAAAACAATGCCCTCTTTTTAAGATGGAAATTGAGAAACAGAAACTGACTTGAACAGACCAGAGAGGCTGGTTCCTCAAATCAACATAGTTAAGCCAGAGGGAGTTTCATGGATTAAAGTTTACTGGGATTCCCCCCGCTTTCTATATCTCTAGTGGTTGACCCTTTGCCATGAACTCATTCAAGTAGTGATAAAATACCACTGAGATATATGACCAACTTGTTATAATTGACCTCCTTCCATTGATATAAAAGTATGTAGTATATAACATGCTTTGGGTTGGACTGTATTAAGAGGCAATGCCATGCAAGAAAAAAATGCAAAATCAATGCAGAAACATTCCAGGCTAATATCTGAAAACAGTTGCAAGGTAAAAATTAAACAACTGTACTAATTTATATGTAATATTAGCATTATAAAAAATGTAAGAGCAGACCACTGCCCTGGGTGTTATGTGCATCAAGAAAAAAGTAACATAAATGTCATTTTAAGCATGACTGGAGGTGCTTCCCCCTCCTTTTTTTTCTCTTTCTACAATATTCAATGAAATGAGTTGAATAGTTTCAGTCCTTTTAGTCTTTTTTTAAAATAGTTTGATTATGATATAATACATTGAGGTTTCACCAGATTGAAATATTGATTCCTATTTAAAAATAACCCTAAATTGATGTTTTTTCCTCCTTATTCAAACATGATTTATCCTTTATGTCAAAATTTGCATGAGTAACCCTAACTTAATTACCAACTTTCCTTTTCTCTTACTTGGCATTGATTTGCTTTGAAAGCTGCATTAAAATTTTAGTCAGATGCTTTGGCTTTTGCCATATGGGTAGCTACTCTGTGTGGTATATTAGAAGGGGGAATGATAGTCTGGTCAGAAAATAATGAAACAAGTTTCTATTGCATGTTTTAATGTGTCCCAATCAACCAATGTTCATAAAATTAGAATAGTCTGATCAATTTGTTCGTAAAAAATAATTAATAAAGGATAAATGAAAATAAACATTGTGGTAAAACTATACCTTCAGTATCATCCTAGCTCTGCAGTTATATTGTACTATGAAATTTTATACTACAATAGTGCCATCCTTATGGGCCCTGGATAACATCAAATATATGTACTAAACAATAACAAAAAATACAAAAAGTCAAAAGTTATAAAAGCCAAATTTTCTATTTATTTGTTCTAATTTGCTAATAAATATATAATAATCCAGCTGTTTCCTATTTGCATCGAATTTCAGAGGCTCTGCAGAATTGTGCTCTTATTTTGAAAAGAAAATAGCAGTTTCCTCTAGCCTTGAGTGTATGATTGTATAATTCGAAGCTGTTCATGCTATACTGAATAGAGGCAGTTGTTGGTCCATCCTCCCACACAAACACACCATCCCCTCAGCTGGACCTGATCTCAGGATGAAAGTAAATGTGCAGAAGGAGGAAAACAAAATAAGATTCACTAAATCAGACTCTTGAAAGTGGATGCAGGTTTAAATCAAAGCTTCAAGAGGAGTGGGAAGGTCTTCCTTCAATTCATAACACAACAATGCCTGGGGTTTTTGTATCTGTTGGAACTCTGTGTTAACAAATTTAGGTTTTTGTATTATTGCAGTAGATATTTTGCTGTCACGAGACATCAAAATCTGTCTTGTGACAAAAAAGCAGAAATGTTCTGAGCTGTTGCCCTACTTTAGAGATAGAAAACAAAGGCAGCGTCACAAAAAGCTGCATTGTCATGATAAAGAATGGAGCTTCTATCATGGGGGCTATTAGTAAGACATGAAGACCCATTTCTGACTTTTAACAAGCTTATTGTAGTAAAGCGCTGTTTCCAAAATTCAGCAAATTAATTCTTAACTATTCTGATATTTAACAAAAGCTTAAAGAGGAAATATCATGAAGTCATCATGAACAGATTGCAAACTGAGCTTGTGGAACAGGATTGTGAAACACATACGATGTAAACAGATCCCTAATCTTCAAAGTCTTTATCTTTGTTATGTTTCTCTTTGTTGTTGGAAGTGTCCACAAAAGCTGTCATTAAGGCAGCACTTTGTAAAAAAAAAAAAAACAAGAAAAAAAACTTAACCAAGTTTTCCGAGTTTATATAACTATAATACTATAGTACTATAGTAGTATTTTAAATGGTTTCATATAAAGCAGTTAATTTATCATCTTCTTATCTATTGGTGTGTTTAGAGTCAGGTGAAATTATATATATTATATAGGGCACTGCAGACCTACAGGTAACATGAGTTCTTTGGAGGAAAAAAACATCTTTTGTGTGAATTTTAGAGTTTTCTATTCCTTCACCAGTCATTGTGAACTGGGTGTGAACATGTTTTTGCCTCTTCGTTTTCTGCTTCTAATAATATGGTTGACTGACAGCTTATTCAATACATTTTGATGATGTCCATCAAGTTGTGTCCTCTTCGAAAGATACGATTGCTTTATAAATACTAGTTAACATTTGCAGCCTATCAACCATCATAAGAGGATAGATATAACTGTGATAGATGTCAGTTAAATTTGGAAGTTAGTAGTTGAATTATTCTTCTGAGATTCTAACATAATCTCCTCGCGTCTTGAAATCTGGGATAGAGTTCTTCCCAAAGAACATTAAGAATGCATCCATAATAAGGAGTTCTGGATGCAACTGGGTTTCTGCTTAGTGCTTCTGAAAACATTTCAACACCTTTGGGTATCAGTCAACTGTGGCAGTTTGCACTACAGAAACCTGTATTTGAGATGTTATTGTTTTTAAAAGCATGAAGGCCCATTCTAGGCAAATTTCAAATCAGATACAAAGCAATGACAACCAAAGAGTTTACATACGTAGTATAGTCATGTTTCAGTTGGCCAAATACACAATTAACCCCAAAAGACTCTGATGACCCAGAAGAATGAGGGGTGGGTCAATGGTTTCTTTTACATTTGGAACACGCCTAGGAGGAAGGGCCTCAATCCAAAGTCCGTAGTCTTTCAAATTTTTGATGTGTCTCTGCTTTAACACATTTGAGTCCAAATGCGCATTTCTTTAGGGAATTTAACTGTATGCTGGGGAGGTAATTTGTTTAAAAAAACAAAAACAAGTGATATATTAAAAAAAATAAAAAATTCCTGGAAAGAGATAAAGGAAAGTCAGGTTGGGACATGACGCTTGCAGCTTAACCTGCAGGCAAAGCTGGTTGCATCCAAAACTTTTTAGAAAAACAACAGCAACAATAAAATGTTCCATACTCTCATAAACTACTTTGCTTTGATGTATCACATAAAAAAAAAATAAAAAATAAAAAAAACAATATGTTTTGTGAAAGGTGCCAAGGGGTTTCAAATATTGCTATAATATTGCATAGTGACAACAATGACGTAAAATGGTGCCATGTTCACCCTGGGTGTAAAGCAAAAAAACAAAAAAACAAAAAAAAACAGAGCTGGTGTCTCAAGATACAAAAATGTTAAATAAAATGCCATATGGGGCTATCGGAAATTGCAGATAGAGACTAAGATGCTGAAGGAGATCTGTAAAGATGGATGAACTTTATCTGAGGGAAAGAAAACTCGAGTTAGCCAGATGTGCACAAACTGATATCAATGAGAGTTACAGTAGTGATATAAAGCACATCTAATACAGCGTGTGTTTGAACAATTCTGTCATGATAAAACTGTGAAAAGGTTAGTTCAAATGTAATAAAATGCATAACATCTCCTTCAGTGAAAGACTGCTGGAGCCTAAATGCCCAAAGAGGCATTATTGTTTTGTACATTTTCAGTAACTGTGCAATATTTGTTTTTTATGTTCCAAATTGCCCTCACTGTACAGAGTATAATTTCTTATCTATATAATTTCTTTTCACTAGCTGAAAAAAATAGCAATTAGCATTGCAATGGATAG